GCATCCATATGACAGAGAACCGGGGTCGACATGACTAGTCATAAACTAAGGTGGCACAAACGTACAGGGATGGGCATATGTAACCCAGCAATGCACGTGTCGGTCATCAACGTATGAACCCAAGTCGTAGCAAGTTACAAGGACTTAAAGGAACAACGCGTGATATTTACTCGTAGGGGGCAGACACAGGAGCAGAGAAGGATACATGCCGGTCAATCCATGTGTTCCGGAGCAGTAGCAAACTACCAAGGCTCAGTGGAAGCACTAGGAGGCATTTCCCTGTAGGAAAGGCTACCAAAGGCAGATAACTAGGTGTTGAATCCCACACATACCAATGTGTTTCAAAACATACACACAATATGCACGATATGTGTAGATACAACATGGCATCACAACATAACTCTATGAAGTATTTATTTAAGAGGCTCTGAGGAGCCTTACATAGCATGATATTACAAACATGGGTCTTATGACCCAACATACAAAGTCATACAAGCAACTGAAGCATAAACATGTTTGAGTACAGATAACTACAAAAGAAAAAGGCTGAGAAGCCTGACTATCTACAAGACCCTCCATATGAACCAGACCTCTGTCTGGGATTCCCAAGCTACTCATCAAAGCCCATGTGGAACTACTAGTGAGACTAAAGTCTCTCTGCAAAAATATAGATTAAGCAACCATGAGTACAAAGGTACTCAGCAAGACTTACATCAGAACTATCTACATATGCATCAGTATCAACAAGGGTATTGTGGGGTTTAACTGCAGCAAGCCAGCTTTGACTCGGTGGCTATCGTGTACTACGACTACTAGTATTTTTCTTTGCGTGAGAGAGCGCACACGAGTCCACATAGTCAACACATAAATACACCACCATGGATCTACTCCCATCTCCCTACGAGAAGGCCATCCATAGCACTCACACTTATCTTGCGCATTTTCCAGTATCCATTTAAAGTTGTCCATGAGCAATGTAAGCTTCCAAGTAGTCCATATCCAAGGACGCGGCTATTCAAAGATCATTCATAACCTCACAGGGGTGTGCTTCTTCACACATGTTTCCACCACTTAGCGCCATATACCCGTCATGTGTCTCCGCAACCTTCAAGCGGAAGCCCGGCGTGGGTGCAGACCACGACCTAACTAACCACACAAGACTCTAGTCCAGGTTTATCGCCTATTTGAGGTTGAACCCACAAGGGAAGTCCGTCTGAAGTTTCCATCACATCCCAAATGATGTGTGCAGGGTTCCCCAGTCCACCTCGATGGATGGTACTACGCTTGGTACACCAGGCCACAGTGTCTCTACCGCATCATAGCCCACCCCTAAGGTCAGCGCTATGCACGGCCTCCAACACATGTCCTACAAACACCAGAAACTAGTTGCAACTCCTATACAGATATCAAGACGGTTAATAAGTCGAGCGGGATCATATTTCAGGGCCCAATGTGTGGTAGTAACTGTCTTGGATCACAAACATGAAACTCGGTTCCTGAGGGCGGTCCCAATGAGACAACCCACCATGTACTCCTACATGGCCTCTCATCGCTACCTTTACCAAATCGTGTTCACACACTTAGCTCTCACACAATAGGACATGAACACAACCATTCCAATTCATCACCCAGATGGATCATACCCGACACAACTCTAAGCATAGAAGGCACAAAAAGCAAGCATGGATGAGTAGTCACAAAATGGCTCAAGCAATTCCTACTCATGCTAGAAGGTTTTAACTGTCTACTGTGGCAAAGACAGGTCATGCAAAGGAATTGGTTCAACACTGCAACATGTAACAATTGAATCGTTGTTGTACTAATGCAGTAAAAGAGAGCAAGAGCGAGAGAGTGGGATTGTACGGAGTGATCAAAGGGGTTGCTTTCCTAACACTTCTGAAGATAATATAGCTCTTCATCGGTGTCAACGATCACAACATCGGAATCGTCTTCTACCGAGAAGGAACAAACACCAGCAAATAGAGAAGGAACAACATACAATGCAATGATGCACGCCCATATGCAGTGTATGACATAATAAGGTACTGAATTCACCTAATGTAATGGTTAGTCATATTAATTGAAGTGGAATTCAAACATATAGAAAATTCCAACTACAAAACTAATTATCAAAATTGACCTAAACATGATTTGTCCTAAACAGTGAAGTTAAGTTGTTCAAACATGCATGATCATGGCATAAATAGATTCTTCATATTTTTCTAATAATTTTTCATATATAATTTATTTTAATCTAAGTTATGGTTGAATTTCTAAAAAAATTAGAAGTTTTTAACTATTTTGCGGAATTAATAAATCATTTAGACTTACTTAAAATCCAGAAATGTTTTATGATATCAGCACAACGTCAGCAAGTCAAGAGAGGTCAAGCAGGTCAAACCTAACTAGTACTAGGACCCACTGGTCAGTGACATAGTTACTAAAAAGAGTTAATTGAACCTAAACTAAATTAGCCAGAGGATAATTAGCAGGTGAGGCCCAGTGTCAGTGACTAGGGTGTTACTTAGTGGCATCATTAGTGGTTAATGATATTGCCATGTCGGCTTCGCCGGAATTTGGCCGGCGGCGACCAAAGCATCGGTAGAAGCTCGTCGGACTTGCGCTACCAGCGGCCAGTCGAAGAGCACAAACCACCAGAGGGTAGCCTACCCTCGCCTGCATCCAGGGGATGCGCCAGGAGGTCACGTGGTCGCCGAAGACGAGCACAGCGATGAGGTATGCGGCAGTGGCTCGGGTTTGCACAGCTACGGGGTTGAGGGGCGCAGGCGAGCTAGGGCAGGGGATATGCCACCTCTACGAAACTCCAGGAGCTCGATTTTGAGCTCGTACGTGTCAATGGTGGACTACAACGACGACGGCGACAAGATCAGCGGGGGTGAGCTCAAGGCTATGGCGGGGAGGCCATTTAGAGCTCGTGCGTGAGGGGGAAACAGGGGGTAAATAAGGCGGGGCTCACATCGATTTCATAGGCGTCGAAGGCGAGGTCGGGGATTGCCGGGAGCCAGCAAATCGACGAGCGGCGTCCGATGGCCATGGGCAGGGAAGAAGAGGCGGGCGTCGCCTTGAGGGCTCCTCAACTCGAATCCGTCGGCGGGTATGATAAGCGCGAGGTGGCAGTTCTTTTGGGCACGAAGGCGAGGCGAGGGGAAGGCGGTGGCCAGGTCTACGGCGGCGGGTGGCGAGGGTGGCGCTCGGGCAGCCGTGCGCGAGAGAGACAGAGGAGGGTAGAGGGAGAAGAGAGTGAGGAGAGGGACGAGGAGCCCGTGGGCGTCCGGCTGGCGAGGCTAGAAGGGTTGAGGCGTCACGGTGGAAGCAAGAGCTGGCGCGCGCACAGCGACCATGCGCCCTGCGTACTGGCACAAGGAGGAAGACGACAGAGGGCTGCGGTGGTGGGCTAGGCCAGTGCAGCTGAGCCGGCTGCACAGTACTGGGCCGGGTAAGCAGGTAAGTTACTAGGTGTTTTCTATTTTCTGTTTTTCTGTTTACATTTAATTATTTTGTCACTATTTGAAAATCAAACAATGCCAAAAGCTCCCCTGGATATTTTTATGTCACTCAATGGAATTCTCCAAATATACATAAAATATCTCAGAGCATTTGAAAATATATTCATTATATATTATGAATATAATTCCAAATTCAAATAGAATATTGATTTAAATTCAGAGCCCAAATAACTCCTTAAAAATGTTCCAAAATTTTGGTTTAATATATAATTCTTGCTAAAATTCTCAAAACTATTTTTGGGACATTTTGGATTCACTGAATGCATTTTCAAGGTTCTTTCCCCTTTTTATTTAATTTTGGAGGCCTCAAATTTTCCCCAGTTCAAATTTTATTTGAATTTGATTATGATGCATCATGATTATGCAATGTAAATCAAGACTAAGCTAGGGCTGTGATACTCTAGGACTTGGTTGAGCACATGTGGACTCACATTGGCAACCAATACATCTGTCGGTTGAATTTATTTTCATGCAAGACCATTTTCGATTGGGTTGTAAGACTATTTGAATATGTTTTTATTTTGATTGGGTTACAAGACAATTTCAGATATGGAACTATTTGATTTTAAACTATTTGGTATGTTTGATTTCATTCAAAGAATGCATACGGGCTTTCAGCCGCTGGACGAGATGCAGCCGGACGTTGGGCGCACGGCCCGGGCATCCAGAGAAACGGCCGGACGACGCCCCATTGCTACCATCAAACGGATGAAATCCAGATCAAACAGACATCTGTTCGGTTGGCCTAACGGCTTATATATGCAGGCGCAGCAGCCAGCAGTCATTCAAGTAAAAAGTGAACAAGAAATCATGACAAGTTGGCAGCCAATGACAAGTACTATACTTTCGTTTCTTTCGCAAGAAATGGCAAAAGCTTATGCACTTGATCGCTGCATCCAGGCGGCGATCGCTGGTAAAGATTCAACGGTACTGCTGCTTCTGAATCCCCCAAAAGCTTATATATGCACGGTTAGAACGAACTTAATTGCAAGCATCATCAACTCTCGTACATCCAGGCGGCGATCGCTGGTAAAGATTCAACGGTACTGCTGCTTCTGAATCCCCCAAACCGTGACAAGCATCACCAAGGCACCAGTCTACGATTGAAGGCATTGTCAGCCGACGGAATAAAACTTGTCGAACCCTCGTACCAGATTCGGCCGCTCCGAAGGTGCTGCATGGTCTCCTCGCTACAAGGTCCAGGCTCCTAGATGGCCAACCAAATGAAGAGTTTCACCACACAGCTAGAAGCCCAAGATCTCCAAGTTTGCCGCCATATCTGCAACACGACCGCACGGTGAAGTAGGGCCATGAAGCAGCAACCATTTACCATCTACAGTTCACAAGGTAGTTTCTAACTACACAAGCTGAACACTACGGGTATATATGTCAACGGTGTCTGGGTGTCAGTACATGATCCTTCCTCCTCAAACATGTGGCGAGATCATCAGACTACTTACCAACCTTGGCAAGTCAAAAAGTATCCAGGGTTGGTAGCACATACAGATTTACAGAGACTGGCTCCTGCAGAACAAAGAATCCAGATGCGGCTATGTTAGTATATGGCATAGAAATTACTAGTAAATTCATATTGGTAGGTCGAGTGTGAAAGAAGTGCCCCTTTAAAGTTGTTCAACCCCCGCAAGAAAGAAAGGAAGTGTCGTTCAACAAAACAAACTCCTATTTGGGTATGCTGAAATCTAGGGAACAACGCACTATGGTGCTGATAACAGTGAAACAGGTACGTAACAAAACTACTTGGGTTTGAACAATCTACAGTCAACAATCTGCAAAATTATCATATCTTATGCAGCAGTATGCACATGTTCCTATGACTTCATCCAAAATGCATATCTCACAAGACTTGGGTGCTGTCCAAGTACATGTTTTCGTGGTAGGTACTACAGGCTAGGTTTTGGGCACCAGTGGTGAAGTCGGTACAGATTGCTGATTTTACCTGGCATGATAGGACCAACTGAGTGCAAATCATTCAGGCACGAGGACTGGAAAGAAACAGCTCTTCTCTGGCTGCTCTTGGAAGATGTAACTAAGCGTAGCTAATATGGTAGGTCACAATCTTTTGCAGAACAGCAATCTACTGTCCCTACTCCCGAGTATATATATGTAAAGAGTAAAATTGTAATCCCTTATATTTCTTTCCCAATCAATAAAGTAAAGCGATTGTGCCCTAAAAGTGGAAATGGTTCCACAACCTCAAAATTACTGTTATAACTTAATTCTATCATGCTTCAGTAAAACTTAACTCGTCTTGCTGGGAAGCAGTCCATCCCGGTTCATAAGCTTCCAGAAACCCAAGCTTTGCTTTGTTTGGGAGGTCATGTGGATGGACAAATGGAACCCCTTGCGGCCATCCGATTTCAGTTCGGATATTATCACAAGGACTGTCCAATGATCGTATGTGACTTTCACATTCTTTGAGATTGCAAAATCTCAGTTTGATGCCTCTCCTGTCTGCAATATCCTGGACACGCTGCTTGAGCACTCTCTGTGCCTCTAGGCGAAGTCTTTTGGAAGGAGGGAGTGACTTTGTTCTTGTAATTCCCTTTTTTTCCTTTGTCGCGGAGTTAGGTGATGCTACATAAAACAATTAAACAAGTCATGGATACATGGTATTGCAGTGACAGGGCCATCTCCAGGAATTTGGGGCCCCGGTACGAAATACAAAAGGATTGTGTTACAGTGTGGTAATAATTTAGCACGACGCGCGCTCGTCGCCACATATATCATTTGAGACATTATCACTCCATGATCTTTGCATGTGTGGTTGCTGAGCATCCAATCGCACTACCTGAATTCCATTGCCTTGGAGTACTAGAAGTTGCACATTCACGTGATATGAACACCAAGTATAAAATAGGGTTCTAAAATTTTAAAAATTGATACCCCCTCCATTTCATATTATTAGGTGCATTAGGAATTATTAAATACTAGGTATATTTGATTTCTACCTGTTTGATTCCCTAATTTGCCCCTGGTTGGTCTACGGTAAAAAAAAAGGCCCCACAAATGGATTCCCTAAAAAGGCCCACGAATGTTGCTTTGTGATTTCAGCTCCTCTCCAATTCTCATGCATAACGGGCAGATCCAAAAATAAAGAAAGCATGCAGTAGGGAGTTCTGCCTTCTGCGAGAGAAAAATCTTTCTACTCCATGAATCAAAGGAATCCCATGCATGCAGAGAGATAATAAGGAGACTGCGGGGCCGTGCGTAAAGAAGGAAATAAATCGCTAGCCGGTTTGATCGATCGTGCATGACATCCTGTGCGTAATTAGTGCATGATCGGTGCGATTTGGGGGCCCCACTTTTTCGGGGGCCCTGTGCGGTCGCTCACCTAGCACGCTCTCGTCGACGACCCTGTGCAGTGGGACTCCCAGTTTGTAATCCATGAAGTCGTAGAAGTTTGATACACCACACCAACATTTAACATGGTAATCAATTAGGATGGTATGAACTCTGAAGGACAATTAGGAAAGCCATGTCTTCATTTCAAAACACACTATTATTACCATTGACAGGCACTCAGAAATCGAACCTCCTAGAGTCCCATGATGTTACTTAGTGATACTGAAAGGCATAAAAAAATCATATGTAATAATATTCATGTCAAGCAGGCACACGATTATTATTTGTTGTTTGCCTTATTTTTGGAACAAGCATGTTATTGCCCCAGCCAGCAGAGGAGAGTAGTTCTGAGTGGTGACCAGTAGCCTGTAACAGCCCGGGGTAGCACCCCAAATAGAAATTGATTCTTATTTTATTTTTGCATCATAAGTGTTGCATAAGCATCATATTGCATTAATTAAATTAAATAATTTGGATATTTTATTTGCTATTTGTTAAATGGTAAATAAGTAAACCCTTCTCCCTTCTGATCTTTCAGCCCAAGACTCTCTCCACACTTTGCACAAGTTTTTCTTGTGACATTTGTGAGCCACACAAACTGTTTAATTGTACAAGCCCCTAACTCCAACCTCTAGTTCAAATCTCCTGCATGCCCTTTCCTCTCTCTTATATTCAAAATCGTCAAACATTGCTCAAACCTTTTGGAAATTTTAGTGGAGCTTGGGAATCATTCAGAGAGGACACCATAAAGTTTTCTTTCAATTTGGAAATTATTTGGACTCCCAAATAATTATTTTCCCTCCTTTTATTTTCTGTTTTTAATTAAATAGGAAAAAATCTTTGCAGTGCACAGTACAGTCGGCCCATTTCTTTTCTGTGCGGAGGACCCAACTAACTCCGCCTATGTTGTCTCAACATAGCCGGTCTCAAGCCCGGGTAAAGGAGGAGGGTTGTGATAGGCTTGGCGAGCCAACGTAAAAAGTCAGCCACTCTTATGGAGATGAAACCCAAAAGATTTTCGTTGGGGCGTAACCCTCTCAGC